CTGCCCAGCGCCCTGCAGGACTAAGCAGGTGAGCCCACGTTCGGCACCGGGCAGTCAAGCAGTACTAGGGTGAGCAAATGGTATGGTGTAGTATGGGGAGGAGGGGGAGAGAGGAAGAGAAAGGGATGGAGGAGAGAGAGAGAGAGAGAGAGAGAGAGAGAGAGAGAGAGAGAGAGAGAGAGAGAGAGAGAGAGAGAAAGGAATCCTAAGCCCCGCCCTGTGGGTGGAGCCACGTCCCGAACAAGCGTGGTCAGCGGTAGGTAATTGGTGGCTCTGGGTGCAGTCTCCCGGCGGAGAGCATATCCCTTCCCGTAGTGTCTGAGCTGGGTAGAAGGGGCAGTGTTTCTGGTCTCCGGATGGCATATTAGCAAAAAGCAGGCTACCATTTCTCCCTGACTCTGACTTCTTTAACGTGGAGACGTGGCTGGGAGAGATGTAAAGAAGGTGGCTTGGGGAGTCCCCGCCCATGCGAAGCCAACCCCTCCCCTCCATATATCAATTGCTCGGTTATGGGTATGTGACTCCCACAGTTTATAAGCCATGAAAGCTGGGTTCGTGGTATAAGTACACGCACGATGAGTGCTGAGGTACAGGACTGAGCCTCCCATAGCACATGCACCACGAGTGCTGGGTTACTGGTTCGAGTCTCCCCCATGCACCGTGATTGTGGGTAATAGGTATGAATCTCCCACAGTTCATGCACCATGAGTTATTAGCATTAAACTCGCAGAGTCCATGAATGATGTGTTACTGGTTGGAGTCTCCAACAGAGAGATAGCCCATAGTGCTAGGTTACAGGCACGAGTCTCCCACAGAACATGAATATGAGCACTGGTTTACAGATAGTAGCTGTGATGTCTATTCTTGGTTGTCAACTTGACTACATCTGGAATGAACTACAATCCAGAAATGGAGGACACACCCGTGAAAGATTATTTTTGCTTACTTTGAAGTAGGTGGATCTACCTCTACTCCAGACCTTTGAGGTAAGCAGACACACACCTGTGATCCGGATCTTGAGGTGGGAAGACACACCTTTAATTTGGGTCACATCTTCTGCTGGAAGCCTAGATAAGGACATGGCAAAGAGAAACTTTTGCTTGTTGCCTGCTTTCCCTTGTCTTGCTATCACCTCTATTCCATCACTGGCCTTGGAGCCTACTTCTTTGGGATTCTGGTGTATACTGAACCCAAATAAGCCAAGACATCCAGCCTTGTGGACTGAGCAACTACTGAATTTTGGGATATTCTGTTCACAGTCAGCCATTGTTGCATTAGCTAGTCTGCAGCCTGTAGGTCATTTCAATAAATCCCCTTATATTTATGTATATATTTTCATTCTATAAGTTCTGTATTCTAGAGAGCCTAATTACAGTAGCCTCCTACTGTATTTCCACCATTAGTGCTGGAATACAGGTGTGAGACTGTCATAGTACATTCACAATGAATACTAAATTCAGGCTTTTGCCTAAAATGGTGCATGCAGCATGAGTGCTGTATTACATGCATGAGCCTCCCCCAGTACAGGAACCACAAATGCTGGGTTACAAGTATGAACCTCCCACATTACATGTACCACGAATGCGCTTACAAGCAGAGGCTCTCACAATATATGTGTCATGAGTGCTGGGTTTTGGGCATCAGCTTTCCACAGTATGAGCACCATGGAAGCTGTGTTACAGACTTCCACAGTACATGCACTGGGGGTACCCATTTCCAGGTAGGCTCTTCCCACTGTGCATTCATACTGTGTGTGCTATGCAGGCATGAGTCTCCCACAATGCATTCACTATGAGTGTGGGGTTGCAAGCATGAGCTTCTCTAGTATGTGCACCATGAGTGTTGGGTTACAGGTGTGAATCTCCCACAACACTTAATGAGTGCTGGATGGGTCATGAGTCTCCCACCATCCATGCACCTATCACTGCTGGGGGAGGGTGCGGGCTAGCCTCCAGCAGTGCAGGGCTGAAAAGGATCCACAGAGTCAGTGTACTAGACTTTTCTATCCTAGGGGGTTTTGGGGTAAAAGACACTCACACTCTC